CCCCAAAACCCCAAAACCCCACAGAGATAAAATATATAATTTATAAGATAGAATCAAAGTGTAAATTATTATACTTTTATTAATATAATATTGTAGGCTAACCAAGATAAAAATTCCTAAAAATGTAAAATTACGAGTTAAGGTAGCGATCGGGAGAAATTCTTGATGAAACCATAATAACCTATAAGGTATAATTGTTCATTCAATGCAGAAATCTAAGAGATGAAGATAATGAGACCATGTGTAATCCATAATGCTGTCTTTCTTGGAAACCAGACAATATAGAGCAAGTATGGTAACTTTTAGATAAAACTGATGCTAAAATTAATGAATCAAACCCATAATTTGAGAAACCATTCTAGCTAGACTTCTAGTTTGATAAAATTCAGCCTTTAAAATTTACTATACAAGATAAACTTGGAGAATATAAATATGAGAATCTATGTTCCTTTGAAACAACATTAGGTGCTATCCTTGGCTCAAAGAATCAGATATTGACAAAAGATTTGAAAATAGAAGGTGTTAAAAATTCTAGAAGTTGTATATCAATTAGAGCTGAATCAATTAAGGATGCAAATTGGGACTTAACTTTAAAGTTAGCTGGTAAAAATCTACCTCATAATACATCATGCATTGTATTCCCTAACAATTAGGTGTTCTTAGAGATATACAAAGGCAGTAAAATTGATTCCAAGTAAAAGACAAAGGTCTATCACAGCGATATCGCACTCGGCACGAATAGTCCAGTTTATCAGCCTTTCAAGCTAAGCGGCAAATAGCTGTGTGATTCTGATAGAACTATGCCTATTCATTTCATATTCAAGAATAGAGTAGGCCTAGATGATAAATTAGTAGGAAGTTGCTGCCTCACTCTATAAGAAATAATCTAAAGAAAGGAATTTTAACTAAAAAATACTTAAACAAATGCATTAGCTGGGGAATTGCATATTCATTAATTTATTCTAGTTGATCAGCCTTCCTTTGTGGAGTATCTTAGAGGCGGATGGTAAATTACTTTCTAACTAGGTATAGATTTCACAGATAGCAATGGTGATGCCAAGGATTACGATTCTCTCCATTCAATTAAGGAGTTTAATTAGTATGAATAAATTATGACCTAGATTGGGAAGATCCTAGAAGCATTTGATTAAGAAAAACTTTTCCCTGTATTTGGATTTGGAGCAGCACCATTGTTTCAAGGCACCAGAGAAGAAGTTGATATATTCCCACTGAACGGAAACACAGTAAATCCTGAGATATTTGGAATAGAAGGTATATTAGAATATTACAGGCAAAATCTTAATGGCATTAAACAAGGAGAACATACAAAAATTGCTAATCTTTTGAACACAATGATAGATTTGGCAAAGGTTAAAGTCTAATAACAAATCTATCATGTGCTTTTGATTCTAATAGATAGTAACATAGAAGATATTTAGATAGTAAAAGATTTGATAGTTCTAACTTCTTCTTTGCCCATCAGTCTTGTATTTATTGGAGTGGGTTATGATAGTTTCAAAGCAATGAAGTAACTTGACTCCAAAGAAGCTATTATAAAAGACTATAAAGGGTCATACCCTGCAAGAGAAAACTCGATATTTATTAAAAGTCAGAAATTTCTAGGTCAAGCTCCTGGGCTTTTCGCCGAAAGAGCATTGAGGGAAATTCCTAATCATTTCTTGAACTATATGATGTATAAGGGTATCAAACCCAGTGTATTTGGCTCTTGAATAAATATATTAAATTATCCAATAAATATATGGCAGATTGATTATTTATTTACATAGCAAAATTGAAAATCATAGTATTACGGGGTTTTGGGGTTTTGGGGTTTTGGGG